GTCGATGTGCTCCCCCTTGTTCAGGGCAGCTGTTTCTGTGGGTTTCACCAGCCTGGTCCCGACCCCCTTGATCTTCATTCCTCCCTCTCTGGAACTGGGTTCCAGAGTTCAGTTCAGTGTTTAGCTGTGGGTGTCTGCCTCTACTTCCATCAGCCACTGGATGAGGGCTCCCAGCAAAGGTTGGGGCAGCCCTAGCTCTCTAATTTTTTAAAAAGACTTTCTTTAGCTCAAAAACAAAACTATCAACAACAACAACAAAAAAACAAGAACAAAAAGAACACCTTCCCCTACACACAAATTAATAAAATATCAAAGATCTAGTCAGGAAAATGTCTGCCATGCAAGCATGAAAACATGTGTTTGGGTTGCCGGCACACTTGTAATCCCAGCACTGGGGAGGCAGAGACAGGAGGATTCCTATGGCCTTCTGGCCAGGCAGTCTAGACAAATTTTTGAACCCCAGGTTCAGTGAGATGCTAAGATGGGAAGTGACAGAGACACCCTATTTTGACCTCTCTGAGATCTTCTTATGCATAACACTGTGCATACATGCACACTGACACACTAGTGCACACACACACACAAACCAATCAATAAACACCGAATGGAAGTGGTTCTTCCTGCAAATGCAGAGAGAGACACCAGTATTTCCACAGGAAGGCTGGCTGCCTGTGGGGCTGCTGGGGTCAGTGGACAAGACCCCTTCTTCAGGATTCTGAGCACAGATCTGTTCTGAGGCCTCAGGTGGTGTCCACTTTTTCACTCTCTCACCTCACCAAAAGTTCCACTATGGTCACTTGGGACAACCTTGCCGAGAGCCCCAAGACTGGCAGTCTTCATGCCCTGCCCTCCACACAATCTTGCAGAAACTTTGCAGTCTCACTGTCTGTCTCCTCCTCGCAAGGGTATCTGTAGTTCCTGAGCTCATTTAGACAGCTGCAGGAAACCTCTGCTCTTCAGCCACTGGTGGGGTCTCATGGGCCACATCCCAGGAGTTCCCCTGTTAAGCTCCACCCTTCCACCCCAAAAGACTAGCTTAGAGCATGAGTGATACCTGATCACTAATGAGAGGTGAGAGACAAGCAGAGATTAACAGAGAGGGGAGGAGGGGGAGGAAGGAAAGTCTGAAGAAGGTACAGGTCTCTTAACCCCTAGCATATCCTTCCTCAGGTGGCAGAGGAAGGAGGGGTGATGTGCCACTCAGAAGGGCTAGAAATCATGCAGGTGGCCGAGTGTGGCTGGTCCAGAGCAAAGATATCCTAGATGGGGCCTCTTTCCTCAGCTTGGAGGGCGGAAGTCAAGAGGCCCCTTCCCTGTCCCGCTGCTCTTATTAGCACCAGGCCAGGACCTAAACTCCATCCAACATTACTGACTTGGCCCAGCCTGGTCCTCCCAGCCATGTTGGCCTGTGGCCTCCATCCCCTCCCGATGCTGACTGGGTGAGCCCCACTCTGGCCAGATGAGCCTCACCATTACATACTGGTCAAGTGAGCTGTGCCCCTCAAGCTACCCAGGTGAGCTCCCTACACACACACTTGACCAGGTGGGCCATGGCCCCCAAAACGTACTTTTCCCGTAGACTGCGCAGTTCCTTCTTTATGTCTGCGTCCTCAAACTCTGAGTCGTTGTCACTGCTGATATAGGATGACTGAGAGTGGAAGGAGGTGATGCTGATGGTAGGCACCTTTACACCTGCCCTGCTGGGCGTCTCAGGGCCCAGCGAGCCAGCTCTTGAAGACCTGTGCAGGAAGGCGGTGGCCTTCTTCACAAAGTCACTTGCCACACCACCACTACCCGGCAAGGAGGACTGCTTCTGCACCTGGGGCCTCCTTCTCGGGCACTCATCCCCAGAGTCACTGGAGGCAGGCTCCTCAACGCCAACCTCGATGGAGGAAGCCGTCTGTCCCCGCCGCACTGCCAGCTTCACATCAGGGCTGGAGGGGATCTCGTCCAGGTAGACGTCAGGTGGGGCGGAGTACCGCAGGCTGTGAGGCGAGGCCAGGGTCCACTCATCCTGTGTGCTGACCACGGAGAAGCGGCCCACAGTTTTGGCTGGAGAACTGCAGTCCTGCTGCCCCAGTCGTTTATGAGGGGACCCGGAGACCCGAGCGCCACGCATCTGGGCTGGGCTGCCTTCTGTGAAGGTCCCCGGGCAACTCTGCAGGGGTGCAGCCAAGGCTTCTCTGGGAACACTACTGTTCTGATCTTTGGGATCCACATGTGTAGGGATGGAAGGAACAGAGGCGCCCTGAGGAAACGATGGAAATGGAGAGAGTCTATGAGAACCAGCTGAGGTTAGAAAGCTCTGCCCCCTTCTGGCTAGTGTGTGTCAAGATCACCTTTACCTGGGGGATACTGGGTGCTGTGGCCACCTGCCCTGTGTCACTGTCACAGCCCAGTGTGTTGCTGGAAGATGACTCTTCTGTAGGAACATGACAGCATTATTGAGGAGAGAGAGAACAGTAAAGGAAGGCTCACAGCCCAGGGCACACGTGGTGGGAGCGTGCTGCTGGGCCGGGAGAAGTGACATTGCAGAGGCTCTGAAGACTGAGAACTCACTATGGTGCCCTATCTTGGGGACATCACATCCTGGAAGACACCCACAAGCCTGGGGAAGGGAAGAGATGTTGGATGGAGCACTCTTGCTTTGGGCACTCTGCACTTTGGGGACTGAAACTGTTTACAGATCTCAGAGGACACAGGAGAGCAGATCCCACTCCTACATCTGTGAGGCCTAGGGAATGCCTGCTACACACGTGTACCTATGTGTACACACACACACACACACACACACACACACACACACACACACACACAACTCCCCTGGTGCTGTGTTTTCAGAGTGGGACAGCACAATGTTTCTGGCAAGCTTCCTTGGGCTGCTATGAAGAGCCAAGGAGAAAAGCCCATCGAGAAGTATGTGTGAGCAGAGACCCTTTCACATTAAAGTCACAGGCAGGCTGGGGCCAGAGTTGGGTCACATGCTGTGTGTGGTGGGGGGGGTTCCACAGATGTCAGTGAAGCCTCTAGGGGAACTGGGGAGCCACCACACACCAAGACAGAACCATACATGGACACATGGACTCACACAAGTGTACTCTGTATACTCTAATATAGGAACCTCACATTCCTTGGGAGACCTGAATCCAGTCTCTACTACATGTCCCCAACTTGCAGGGAACACTTAATCCCCCTTCTCATCTCTGCATACCTCCAGTGACAGGGGCTCACTACCAACAGCATTCCTCCTATTTCTGTGCCTGTTACAAAGTTCACCTGTTTGGACTTGGATCATGAGTCAGCCTTCTGGAACAATCCTTCTACTGCCTACCACGACTTCTGAACTCTGAAGCACGTGGATTTGTGATTGCAGGTAACACCCCTTATAGGACACAGAGGCTCTATTACCTCTTCTAGAAAAGACCTGGGATGCTGGTCTCAGCTCGAGGCTGGCACTGGGTTAGAGGCAACAGAAGCACTGCCTCTGACCTCTTGGAGCACTGGCCCAGGAACCAACACAGCTGCCCCTTGGGCCCACCAGGTGGAGCTGGACTGCACCTCTCACTGTGAAGGCAGCTTAGACCTGAGGAGCCACCTGCTACTGACAATAACTCTTACCTTGCCAATCCCTAAGACACCCAGCTGAGGGAACCTGGCACCTCAGAAGGTAGATCAGACCCCTAGGGTGAAGACTCAAATGATTGGTAACAAACCAAGAACCGTATGATCTCAGCAACTTGATTGGATGGCTGAGGCAGGGATCAATGCAAGTTCAAGGCTAGCCTGGGCTACACAGCTATCTCAAAACAAAAAACAAAAACAAAAAAACCTGGTGAGATAGTTCAGTGGGTTAAGACACTTACCACCAAGTCTGATGGCTTAAGTTTAACTCCTAAGATCCTCATGATGGGAGGAGGGAACTAACTACTTTAGGTTATCCTCTGACCTCTACATATACCACAGAAACCCATGAATCGAAGCAAGAGCTTTCCCAAAGGTCACAGCTCTGGGGCAAAAGAGGAAAGCAGCGGGGTCTGGGACCACTCTCTACCTCTTTAGCTGCCTTGTCAGCAGGGAGCTGGAGGCCTAGATGCTTCTTAGAGGGCCCTGGCACCCCCGCTCCCTTATTCTCGCTTTCATGTTCCCAGACAGGACTTTTTCTTTGGATTCTGAGAGCAGTACCCTCTGAAACTTGGTGGGCTATTTCATCCCCGGAAGCGTGAGGATGCAAAGGCTCTGGGCTCCAGGAGGACTGTGGTGCCTGCAGTGTAGCCTGAACCACCTTGACCTTGAGGTGTTACCTGTCATTGGAGAAGATGTACCCTGTTCCCGCTGAGCCAGGGCCCATCCTGCAGGGGCCGTTTCTGACTTCTCCAACTGGAAGAAGATAAAGAAGAAGCAACAGGGGAAGAACTGTGAGCTTGGCTTATCAACATCTTAGCAACTAAACCCTAAGCCGCTGATCTGTGACCCCTCTACAGCTGGAACTGTTCCTAGCCTGCCCTGCCTCCTCCACATGAACAAACAGAGCTTAGTCGCTTGTCACCACACACCACGGGTGCACCACTGAGAGCCAGCCAGGCCCTGCATAGCTCGGATGCCTACCCACCTCCAGCTATGGCCAGGGAGTGGGAATGGGGTGAGTTAAGCTACTCACTGAGGGCTGGGCCTGCTGGCTGAGGCTTGGGGTCCTGTCACTCAAAGCTGAGGGCAGGTCTCCTCGCAGGGGCTCCAAGGTGAAGTCTCTATCGCTTGCCTCCATGGGAGTCCCAGCTGAGGCTGAGGAGGTGGGCACATGCTCCTGATAGAGCAGAGTCCGAAGTTTCTCATCCAGGCTCTTGATGGTGTTGTCCACAAAGCCCACCCTAGGGGGTGGCCCTTCCCCATCTGATTCCAAGGCTGAGGGTGGTGGTGGGGGAGCAGTAGGCCCCAGTGGGGGGCTGGGGAGCTGGGGAGCTGCCAGGCTGATAGTTCCCACGGTAACGGGTGGTGGGAGTGGTGGCTGACCCGGTACAGGCTGTGTGGCCCCAGTGGGGGGGCTGGGCTCTGGCACTGAAGCAGGCAGGGGCTCCCCTAGCGTGCTGACCTCCCTGGCTGAGATGGGCTCCCCCAGACCTGTGGAGCAGCGAGAGGCTTCTGGAGCTGGAGTGCAAGGTCCTTGGCCAGTACTGAGGGGCTGGGCAGCACACTGGGTATGGTGAGTCTCAACCAGTGGCTGGAGGGGCTCATGGATACTGGCTGGTCCTTGTTGGGTCCCTGGCCCCCCTGCCTGCATGGCAGTCCCTGATGCTGACTCTGGCACGGTGCTGGTGGCTGGTGCTGCCGGGATTACAGTAGTCACAGGAGGGGAAGATGGGGCCAAGGGGGCTGATGCTCCACCAGGAGGGTTGCTGGAGCCTGCCTGGCTCAGGAGCTGCTGAGCAGCTGGGAAACTAGGTTTGTCCTTCAAGGACAGCTGGTCTGGATAGGGCGCTGGGTCTAGAAGAAAAGAGGGAACGATTGGCATCACTTACCCTGATCTTCTTCAACCAGTCCTTCCCTGTCTACACTGAGTACCTGACTAGGGTGCCTGCAAACTCATTTTTGTTCCTTCAAGATGCCAAATTCCAGTCTGCCACTCAGTCTGGTCTTGACCATTGCCATCAGCTCTCAAGGGATAGTTCTCACTTATGGACCTCTGCTCCTAGAGAGTAGCCTATGGTTCCACACCACCCCTTTCCACCACCTGGCATGGCCTTTTCTCTACATCTATTTGTCCACACTGTCTTTGCTGGACAAAACTTGAACATGAATTTAAAAAGTGACAGTGTTGAGGGAAGCAGTGAGTTATATTTACATCCATGCCCCAGAGCAAGGAGGAATCCAGAACCTTGCAATCCATCAGATGCCCAGTGTTTGGTGCATTCAGAACATAGAATCAGCAAGGAATGCTGGGAGAGAAGGACCTGGGGATCACATGAAAACACAGTCCAACTGTGTCCTGCTAGAGCACCCAGGGCCCTAAAGGCAGTCATAGGGAGGGCACCTAAGGTGTGGTATGTCTCAAATCCATGTGGGTTTGGAGCTCATCTCTTTTCACTTTCAAAAAAGAAGCCCTGTGCCCTTTTATTGACAGGAACATAATACACAAGACTGGGGCTGAGGAGCCGGCCACGCAAGCATAAGGACCTGACTTTAGATCCCCAGCATCCACCCAGAAGCAAGCATGGCGGCATGTACCTATAATCCCAGTACTGGGGGCGTGGGGAGACAGGCAGATCTCTGGAGCTCACTGGGCAACTAGCCTAGCCAAATTGGGAAGTTCTAGGTTCAATGAGAGACCCTTTCTCAAAAAATTAGATGGATGTCTTAAGAAAGAAAAGAAAAACAGGGAGCAACCAAAGAGACGCCCATCATCAACCTCCAGCCACCACACACGGACATGGAGGCTCCCACACGGACATGCGCAACACCTACACAGGCGCTCTCTCTCTCTCTCTCTCTCTCTCTCTCTCTCTCTCACACACACACACACACACACACACACACACACTGAAAACCATAAAAAGGCAGTAGGAATTGGCTGGCTACCAGGATCCAATGCCCATCTCCCATGCCCAGACCCATACAGATCTGCCACCCCCATTCCACCAAAGGTCAAGAACCGACAAGTCCTCCCTCCTGTTGTCACGATGGCACTGGCATGTCTTCTAAAGAGCACACTTGCTTCCACAGTCTGGAATGTTCTTCTATTCATGGATGGTGGTACAGAGGTGCCCTTGTCCAGCTAGGTGCACACCCAGAGAGGCTGCTGGCCACAGAGAACCTCTAGGCTTCAATAGAGGCGACACTCCAAAGTGGGGACAGTGTCCCTCCTACAGCAATCTGTGAATGCCCATGAGCCTTCCTTCCCTCCTTCCTGGGGGAGTGGGAAAGGCCTTACTTCTGATTGTGGTAACTTTAACATGAAACCAACCCTTTAAATGCCTAACACACAGCATGGTACTGGCTTATATAACCAAATGAAACCTTAGACCTGCATAGCCACTGTTTGTCCTGTCAATCTCCCCTCTACTCTCTGATTCTGACCATATAGACACCTCCTCCAAAGGAGTTGTACGGTACTCACCTTCTCTGAATGGCTTATCTCATTCCACATACCACCCAGGCACATTCATGTTGTTGCTGATGGCAGGATTTCCCTTTCTATGTCTCAATAGCAGGCTAGTGGGTATACACATTGTTTATCCAATCATCCGTTGACAGTCCATTTGTTTCCACGTCTTTGACTACTGCAAATGATGTTGCATGAACACGGAAGAGCAGATACTTCTTCCAGAATTTGCTTTCAATTCCCACAAACACACCCAGAGATGGGACTGCTGAATCATGTAACAGTTCTACTTGTGACTTCTTGAGGAACCTGCATGCTGCTTCCTATAACATCTGTACCAATTTACACTCTCACCAATTGCACAGATGGCTTCCCATTTCTCCACACTCTTGCCAAAACTCTCAGTCTTTTTGTTTTGTTTTATATCTGTTTGTGAGCACGCACACATGCCATGACCTGAGAGTGGGAGTCAGAAGAAACCTTGTAGAAGTCGGTTTTCTCCACCAGCCATGCGGGTCCAGGATCTAACTTGGGTCACTGGGCTTGGTGGCAAGCATGTATACCCACTGAGTCAACATCCTTTGTGCATTTTTTAACTGTATTTTCCTGTGACTAATGTGACTGTCCTCTCTGTGAGCCACCCAGCATCTCCTATGACATACTTGCCCATCAACTGAGCTGCTCTAGTTTGTCTTTTCCTCTGTAAGAACTCTTCATGTCTGCTGGGTGGGAATCACTGCTGGTTGTATGCGCTGCTGGGATCTTCTCTCTGGTTTGTGTGTTTCCTTATTTAGAGTAAAAGGTTTTACTTTCGACAATGTCTGATCTCTCTCTCTCTCTTTTCTTCTTTTGAGATGGGGTCACGGGCTGGTCTTGAACTCATTATGTAGCTGAGGATGACCTTGAACTTCTCTCATTCCTTATTTCTGCACGCTGAGGATTTCAGGGGGCATCACTACACCTGCCTGGTGCAGGCCACCCTGGAAGTTGGAACAAGGGCTCTTGGCATGCTAGGCAAGCACTGAGCTAAGAAATCCCGGACAGAGACTTCCTCTGCTTTCTTCTGCAAGTCACACAATTTTGCACTTTATAGATTTTTAAAATTTTAAATTAAAAATAAACTTGCCAGTAAAGAGATCAAGCATAAAATTAAGTTTTTTTATTTTTTATTGTTTTGGTTTTTCAAGACAGGATTTCTCTGTGTAGCTTGGGAGCTATCCTGGCACTTGCTCTAGAGACCAGGCTGGCCTCAAACTCAAAGAGATCCGCCTGCCTCTGCCACCCGAGTGCTGGGATTAAAGGCGTGCGCCACCAACACCTGGCTAGTATTTTTTTTTTAAGATTTTATTTATTTATTATGTATACAGTTTTCTGCCTGCATGCCAACAGAGGGCACCCGATCTCATTCAAGGTGGTTGTGAGCCACCATGTGGTTGCTGGGAATTGAACCCGGGTCCTCTGGAAGAACAGTCAGTGCTCTCAACCGCTGAGCCATCTCTCCAGCCCAAATTAAGTATTTTATGTTTGATTTATAATTAATTTTTTGTGTGTGATGTGAGGCTTAAGGTCAAAGTTTACTTTTTGGTCTATGAATGAACCATTATTCAACATCCTCATTGAAAAGACGACCAGGCTGAAAGCAGGAATCATTTCTCAAGTTTGTAAAAGAAACAAGGGTGAGGCTGGCCTGTTCAGTGATCTGGGAAGGGTTAGTCCCTTTTGTCTTTCTTGAAGAGATTTTACAGAATTGGGGGGAGGTGGGGGAGGTCTGCCTGAGTTTGAGAAGTCTTTGGGGGAGATTTGACCTGTAGATTCTCCCCCTCTCTCTCTCTCTGTTTTTCGAGACAAAGTTTCTCTCTGTAACAGTCCTGGCTGTCCTGGCACTTGCTCTGTAGACCAGGCTGGCCTCGAACTCACAGAGATCCGCCTGTCTCTGCGTTCCAAGAGCTGGGATTAAAGGCATGCGCCACCACTGCCCCGCAGATTCTTTCTTTCTAATAGATCTGGGGTGGTACATCTTTTCCATAGTAGGTGAGTTTTATCAGTTAGTGAATTTTGCAGAATTAACTAGTCCTTTTCATTTAAGTTGTTTAGTCTACATCTATAGGTTTATTCATTAACTCCAACAGTACCCTGTATCCTTTATCTATAATATGTTCTATTTTATGTCTTTTTTTGGGTCAGTTTTACTAGAGGTTTATAACTTTAGTGATTTTTTTTTTCAAAGAATCAGTTTCCATCTTCATTGGTTTTATCTGTTTTACTTATCTGTACATTTTAAAATGTTGCTTGCTTCTGCTCTTTATTTTCCTGGTTTCACTGTCTTTGGATTTATTCTGTCCTCATTTCTCAAGGTAGAAAGTTGTATTAACTTTTTAGTACTGTAATGTTTCCTTGTAACTTTAGCCACATCTCATAAAATTTAATGTTATCTTCTTGAGTTTATTCAAAATGTCCTGACTTTATTAGGGCTTTTTTTTTTTTTTTCTACCATAGATAACATGACCTGTCACTCAACTCTTGGTTACATTATACCAGAGACTGTAGTCAGTACAATGTTGACTTTTTTTCATGTTGGGTTTCTTTTTTATAACTCAGGGTAATTGCTCTACATGTCCAAGTAAGAATGCATTCCACCCATGCAGAATGCTCTACAAACATCAAGTAGGTCCAGTTGGCTACTGTGGCTGGTTTTTCCTCTTCCTGAGAGAGGAGTGTGGAAGCCTCCACTACAGTTGCAAATTGTCTGTTTCCACTTTTAGTTCTGGTGGGGTTTTCTTCCTGCAAGATTTTATTATTTTGATTATTTTTTGAAGCAGGGTTGAACTACTATATGTAGCCCAGGCTGGCTTCAAACTGGTGATCTGCCTCAGCCTCCCAGAGCTGGGATTGCAGGCTTGTGTTACCATGCCAGGCCTAGTTCTGCTAGTTTTAAAGTTGTTACTAGATACACTTATTTCTAGGGCTCTAAATGTGTTTTGGAAAGCGAAGCTTCAATGAATGTGGAACATGACTTTTTAACACTGATGATTTTCTTTGCTCAGAAGTCTATTTTGTTTGAAGTTAACTTCAAACAGCAACTCCAGCAATCTTTTGAGATGTCTTTATAGAGCTTATCTTCTACTACACACTCTCGGGTTTAAAAAAATTATTTTTAAGTATATTTTTGTGAGTGTTTGCCCACATGTAACATATATATGAACCTCAATACGCGTGCCTGGGGCCTGTGGAGGCCAAACAATGGTGCTGGATCTCCTGGAACTGAAATTAAAGGCAGTTGTGGGCCACTATGTAGGTGCCGAGGGCCAAACCTGGGTAGCAAATGCTCTTAACCCCTGAACCATCTCTCAAGCTCTCATCCATCTGTTTACATAACATATTGAAAGTTTCTAGTAGATGCTTCTATTTAATTCATGTTGTTGGGTTTCTTACCCCACTTTTTAAATCAACATTGTCATTTCATTGAGACATGGTATTTCACCTGCTTAAAGTCTATCATTTTATTGTTCTGTTTTTTAAAGATTGTTTATCTTCATTTTCTCTTTTCCTTTCTTTCTTTTGGGTCACTTGATTCTTTTTTATTTGATTTCTATCTATTAGGATTTTGAGTACATCTTTTTGAACAATTCTTTTAATGGTCATGCTAGGGATTCCAAAGCACACACTCCCACTTTCCAGTCTTCTTAGATTTGGTTGGTTCACACGCTCCATTCAGAGCCCCTTCAGTCGGAAGGCAGAAGCCTTGCAAACACACAGCTCACTTTGCTTTCTTACAGCCGTGTCCCATATCTACATACATGGAAAGTTCATCTGCTGTTGTGGTTCTGAAATTGTGCCACCAGTTTCAAAGGAGTCAAGAGGAGAATAATCTGTGATAGCCCACCCCCAGCCCAGGTTGTACTTTCTTTGTTCTGACGGTACTGACTGGGATCATCTCCCTTCAGTTTGAAGATCCTGAATCTTACAGAATAGGTTTTGAAATTGCAACATTGTATCTCTGTTTCGAAGGGGCATTTTCTCTGAAGGCAGAGGTTGGTCATCATCACTTTCATTTCTCCACCTTTCCAGTGCTGTCCGTTTGCTTCTGGATGTCATCACTTCTGCAGAGAAATCTGCAGCCATGCGCCCATGCCCTTCCTTTAGGCGACATCGGTTTGCTTGCTGCCTTCACTTTTTCATTTTAGTTTCCAGTAGACCGGTGCTACGTTCAGGCATGGTTTTCTACAGTCATACCTGCTTGGGGTTTGCTTGGCTTCCTGAATATCCAGGCTCCACCTCTGGAGCCTGGAGCTTTCAGCATTAATTTTTCTACATTTTTTTTTCTTCTGAACTCTGGCACGATGTCAGATGCTTTGGCAGGTCCTGGAAACTCGGCTACTTTACCTTACTTCTCCTCCCTGTGTTCCAGTCAGATAATTTGGATATTTCAAATTTTTAGTGTTAAAACTTGCATGCATTTGTTCTTCTCTGTATCTGTTTTTCCCTGACACCTTCTACTTAAGATTTCTTTCAAGAATGTTTCTGATTGTTCAGACACATTTATAATGGCTGCTTTGGGCGACAGGGTCAGACAACATCTGTGTCACCTTGTTACTGGGCAGGTTGGCATTTTCCACGAAGTTGACATTTCATAGGTTTCTACTTGCCAAGTAATTCTGGTTCTATTTTCAATATCTTGAATAACATGTGAAATCTTATTTTTTTTTTTTTTTTGGCTGTTACAGTGAATGCTGGTATTTTTGCTTTAGCAGATGGTCAACATGACCAGGAGGAGTATCCTGAAAATTGCAGTCTACCTTCTATGGGTCATGGTTACAAGTTGGTTCAATTTTCAATACTTTTACAGGACTAATCTACTTGAAACTGGTACAGTCACTTAGAGGCCAGTCAGGAACCTGGGTGGGGTTCATCCCTTAGCTTAGTTTCCAGTTTTATGTGCCAACTGGGGAGTCACCTGTGTACAATTACACACCAGCTGAGGTCAGCTTATTCTCCCATTTTGTGCCTTTATGGTATTCTCGGTTCCCTTGGAATTCTTACTCTGAACCAATGGTCAGAAACCAGCCAACTTTATGACTGTGCCAAGCTGGGCCAGGCAGTAGAGAGCTTAAGAGAATCAGCAGGCTTCAGGTGTGTGCTCCTGCAGCTCTAGGGCTCTCGAGGTCCAGCCAGCTGCTGGTCCCCATAACTTGCTGCTGCCCCACAGATTTCCCTAGACACCAGAGTTCCTCTCTGCAGGCCTGCCTCTGTCAGCAGTGTCCCAGTGAGCGAGTGCCTGGACTTTATACCTCTTTTCTCTCCAGTGTGGCAGTTGCAGCCTCACTCAGACACTCCTGTAGACTGGGAGATGCTCTCAGTGGTAAAGGGACCAAGAGTGGTCTTGTATCCAGTTTATAACTAGGGTCTGATAATTACTAACTAGGATCTGATACGTTTTCACCATCTTCAGATTTCCAATGCCTTCAAAGTGTAATTTTCATGTAATTCTCATCAAGGTTTTTGGTTTTCCTCTGTGGATAGTTAATTCAAATGAACACATCTGTCACCAGATTCTCCATTCAAGACCCCTACCATATACAAACTTGCTGTGAATAGTTTCCAGGGTCGTTCAGCATGGAGATGAAGGGTGGGGGCTTAACGCTGTGCTCTTAGTCCCACATCACTGCCCATTAAGGACATATCACACTGCACTCCGAGGTCCTTCTAATTTATGGCCTTGTGACAAGGCTTTCCTTGGACCGGGAAGATGGAATATGTTTTGAAAGTAAGCCTTCCAGGTACGGTCAATGGCCCCTGGCTTCTCAGGCTAGTTTGAGCCCATCCCCCTGGCCAGAACACACCTCCTCCCAGTGTATAGCTCACTGGGTTTTACTAATAAGATGACCTTCTCCCTGGGGTAACAAATTTCCAAAAGTATGAAGGAATTCCAATTTACATATCCTTTTTATGAGTGTAGCATGATGGAAACCCATCAAACTCTTTTTAATGATCAACTCTTCCTTGCCAAGTGATAATTAAAACTTTTTTTTTTTTGGTTTTCAGAGTTTCTCTGTGTAGCTTTGGAGCCTGTCCTGGAACTCCCTCTGTACACCAGGCTGGCTTCAAACTCACAGTGATCCACCTGACTCTGCCTCCCAAGTGCTGGAATTAAAGGTGTGCGCCACCAATGCCTGGCAGAATTAAACCTTAAGTTTGTTCCAATGTCTAGTTCATCCTTCTAAGTATCATAAAAATCAAGATTCAATCAACAGTGCAGAAGGTTAGGTTTACAGACATCTGTGGGGATAGGTGCAGGCAGTCTCAGGAGCAAATGAGTAGCGCCATCATCCATGTGACAAATGAGAATTAGGTGGTTTCAGAATCCCAGCTCCCCATGCAAAGTAGGATTCAGAGAGCCTGTTCACCATGGGTATGCAGCCAGATGAGAAAGACAGGGAGGAAGGGCCCAGAGCACATCAGCACACCATCACCTAAGTGGTTAAGATAGTAAGGCTAGCTCAAGCCCATGCTATCTGGTGGTGATTCAGAAAAAAACAAAACAAAACAAAAACCCGGGAGAAATGGTAACATGACCCTGTCAGCTACGCTGAGCTTTGCAGTGACAGTATGGGGTGGCACCAGCCCCCTGCATGATGCCAGGGACCCAACATATCCCAGCACAGGGGTGCACAGACAGAAGCTTCTAGGAAGCTACAGAAGGGGGTCTGGGCTCTGTGTATTCCTACCTTGGCTGGCTTCTGGCTGCAAAGAGCTTGGAGGAAGTGGGGGTGATGATTCAGAAGTATCTGTTGCTGGGTGTTCAGCCACTGGACAGATGATAAACCACCTCTTCCCCGTGTGCAAGACTGAGAAACAGAGCATAAAGGGGTGCTGAGAGGGAGCCAATACCTCTAGGCCAGGGGGACCGACTACTGTACCAGACGCCATGAAGAGCTCTAGGAAGCACATTCCACCTGGAGTTTTCTCCAGGAGGAGTGGACAGGGGACTCAAGCTCTCACTTATAATCCTCAACAGCTTCCTTCCACAACTCGGGTGGCCCTCCAGGCCCCTTGATAAGGAGGCCTTTAGAAAGGGCTTCCATTTGCTCCTTTCAACCAGAAGGCATAGGGTGGGCACCGAGCCTCGCTGGCAGCTGCAGACTCTCGGAAGAACTGATTCAGTTCTTGAAGGAAGCCTTGAAGGAAGGGATGGCAGCTAGTGGTAAGTGGCTGCTGGGACAGGGTAGCCATTACCAGCTGAGAGCCTCATCATCACCCCCACAATCTTGGTGCAGTGGCCAAAGTCCTTGCTGCTATGCTCAACAGGGACTTTCAGTCAAACGCCTGCTTTAGAACACAGAGGGTGTAGGGAAACAGTTCTTCCCTAAGGCTGGCTATTCTGCCAGGTACAGCTGTTGGGACAGACTTACCATTCTGCTGATAGACAGGGGCGTTGGCTTGGGACTGTCCGTTCTCCTACATGAGGGAAAGAGATTTCGGGTCAGCAGCCATGCTCAATGAGAGCTTTTTTCTGAGCCCCCCTGCCTGTTGCAAATACCAGTATGCCCTGGGGACCTGGGATCTCACCTCCCCTGTGGCCAGACCACAGGTACCCAGGTGTGGAGGGCTGGTCCCTGTATCAGAGCCATGATCAGCATCTGTGTCCTCACTGAGCATGTCTTCGGCCTTGTCCATGACATCCTTCATCTGTTCAATGAATGTCTCTCGCTCCGCAGGCAGGATGAAGTCATGCTCTACCTGCAAAGTGACATGGGACTGCTGGTGACAACCTTCCGTAGAACATGGCTGTATGGTAGCTCTATCAGGGATACACAGACCTATCCTGCCCTATGTCCAAAGGGAAGAGATGACAAAGGTTGTGTCCCCTGGTCAGAGCTGAACAGCCAAGGGAGAAAGCTCATGGCCTCAGAGACACAAGAATGCAATTGAAACTGAAAATGCTATCCCACACAACAAGCTAGCCCCATGTGGCACTGCTTTCCTGGAACAAGAGCTGCTCATGGAACCCCAGGCTAGCCTAATAATCTCCAAGAAACAGGTACACTAGTACTGGGTCTAGAGGAGAGGGCCTAATTGGGACACAAGCACTAGACAATGAACCATACCTATTTTCTCTAGAATAACGATAATTATTATTACTTATTTTTAAGACAGGGTCTCACTGAGTAGCCTTGGCTGTCCCAGATGGGACAAAGCTTGTCCGAATAACATCTGTGGTGGTAAATATTATCAAATCAAAGGACCTGGAATCGCCTATAAGACAAACCTCTGGGCATGTTTATGATGGAGTTCCTGCCCTAGGGTCACCAAGGTGGGAAGACTCATCCTAAATGAGGGAGGTGTGTTCCATGGACTGGAGCCCCAGACTGAATGCAAAAGAAAAAGCTGGCTGGCCCCAGCATTCATCTCTCACTGCTTCCTGACTGTGGGTGCCATGTGACAAGCTCCTGTTGCCATGACCTTCCCCACCATGCTGTGAGCTAAATTAAACACTTCCTTGCTTTTGTCAGGTATTCTGTCACGGCAGTGAGACAAGTAACTAACACAACGCACTATTTCACCATTGACTCCTGCTCTTCCACTGGAGTCTCCTGATGCCTCCAACCCTGAAGCAGCGACAGGGAGCAAGGCAGAGGGCCATCAGGAAGCAGGGACTGCACACGGACCGTCTGTGCACTTACTTCCTGCTTAGCTGCAGGAAAGCTTTCGGGTAACTTGGCTTTAAAATGTGTGATTCAATCCATTACACAATTTATAAGAGAAACCAATAGAATGAGAGGAGTATTGGGCATCCCGGGGACCCTGAGAGGAGGATCGGGGTCAGGGCATCCAGGGGACCCGAGATCACAAAGATGCAAGTTTACAAAGCTCAGCAAAATAACTGACTGAGAAACTGTGCAGGGGCTTTGCATGTGTGTGTGCTGGAGAATGTGCAGTACGTGTATGCGCACGTGCGCGCGCGCACGCGCGCATACACACACACACACACACACACACACACACACAGAGAGAGAGAGAGAGAGAGAGAGAGAGAGAGAGAGAGAGAGCTACTGAAAACAAGTGGACATGAACACGTGGACACATAATACCTAATCACTGTGTTGTGACAGCAAGAAGGGAAGCCTGGAGAAACAGGGTAAGCAGGCAGCATGGAAGACAGAGGCTGGGGGACCACTTTGTGGGCACTGACATTATCATTATGTTTCTATAGCTTGATCTAGAAATGTTCTTGCCCTACAAGTACAAGGACCTGAATTTGATACCCAGGACCCACACAGAAAGAACCAGATGTGGTGGCATCCTTGTAATTCCACTGTTGAGGAGGTGCCTAAGGAATGTCACCTAAGGTTGTCTTTTGGTCTGCACACCCAATGTACATGTAACACATATGTACATATGTTGTGGAATGCTGTCCTTCAAGCATACCAATCACCCCATCTGAACAGGAGCAGCTGTGACTACCCACATAAGCCTCTCAATCTGACCAGTATCAGGAGGTCATTAGAACCTCAGCTGAGATTCTGACCACTCGGCCTGCTGCAACCCCCGAAACCCCCCTCCCAAGTATATGCCCTTGGGAGGTGCTGGTACAAGGCTAAGAGGGTGAGCCCATCTCTGCAGCCATGGGGAAGCTTTTAGTGATGTGGCTATTTGGGGGTCACCCATTCTGTAAGCATGCCCAATATACCCCTCAGTCTGCCAAACTAGCCTTGGGTGGAATCTTTCCTTTGGTCTGTTGTTGTTGCCCTATCTGGGGTAAGTAGATGTTTATGTCTCCCTAGGAAAAGTTCCCATGACAGCATATAAAGTTACGTGACACTCATGTTGAGAAAACCACCCTAACTGTGGGCATTGCCACCTAGCAATGGCCTGGGTACTGGACTGAGTTAAAAGGAAGCAGAGAACCGGCTTTCATTTCCAGTTTCTGACAGGAGGCATGGTGTTGTGACCAGCTGCCTCATGCTTTGGTTGTGATGACTTTCCCGTCAGGTATACTGTACCCTAGAAATGTGAGCCAAAGTAAACCCATTCTAATTTATGTTATCTTCATCAAGAACTGAGGAATCTTCTCACACACCAATTTGTCACATGTATAGGTGGGCTGTCTGTTAAAATCTTATGATAGTCTGTCTTTACCTTACGGTTTTCTGAGGTGAAGGTAACTCTAATATGAAATTCAACAAATGAGTCCTCATTGCATGTTATTTTGTAATGAGTCTAAGTGAAACAAGCACACACACATGAAAGTGAGGAGAGGTGTGTGGTCTCAAAGCTTGGATATTAGAGTAAGGGCCTTCTGAAAAATCACCCAGATACTTTGTTCAAGGGTCCTTCCCTGACCAAACCATATTCAGGCATCTACTATACTCTTCCCTAAGCCTTGACCTCGGTCCCTTCTGCTTTGGGCCTAATTCAGTTACAGCAAGAGTCCTACTAACTCAGCCAAGAGAGAACTCCCTGGCCACCATGTCTGATGAAGCTCCTTGTCACCAGCTTTGATGTTGAAGCCTGACACATCCTCCACAAGGACCAGGTTAATGGGTGTAGCAGGGGTTTCCCTTTGGCTGCAGAGTCTGATGTCACTTCCAGAACACTGAGATGAAGGCAGGGTTCACCACAAGTGACCCTCTCTGAGCATCCTGGACATCAGTGGTCAGGACATGGGGCACACATGCTCAGTGTCCTCACAACCTGACCACCCAACTGTGGCTTTGGCACTCTTGTGTTTTCCTTACATTCCCAACCCTCACCCTGCTCCTGGGTGGTCCCATCCTGCTCCCTCATCCCTGCTTTGTTCAGAGTCAAGTCTGTTTTCTGCTGTCGATCTGGCCAGCCTTCCTGACCATGGTAGCAGACATTGGAATCATCTTTTCTGTCACCCTGAGGGGACTGTGGCCTGCCCTGGCTTAAGGAAGAGCTTGTCTGAGGAATCTCTGTGGAGCAAACAGCAGGATTTTTTTTTTTTTTTTTTTTTTTTTGGGAACGGGTTTTTTTTGGGGTTTTCCAAACACCATTTAATTAAGACAAAAAATTCCCCCTCCCCCTCGGCCCCCGGGGCGGGGCGTGTGCCACCAACGCCCAGCTAGAACATGACCTCTTAAACATGAACGTATGTGACTGAGGGTCTAAGAGAATGTCCCTCTGTAGGACAACGTCTGCCCTACTGAGGTCACAGATAGGTCAGGGAGTCCTTCCTGCCAGGGTCTTCTGCACTTTCATAGACAGTTTGAGATCCAAGTCCCTCACTTCTGGTAGGGCTGGGTGCGGGGACAGAGCAGTACTTCGTGGGAACATAGACAAGGAATCTAAAGACGTCTGCAGGTAAGAAGGGGCCCCCAGGGGCTCTCTCGGGCAGGGAGGGCTGGCTCCAGGTGGAGGGGCTGAAAAAGCTACGGGGATGGATGGGGAAGGAGTCCAGGGCTTGGGTCTGTACTTTCAGAAGCTGAGGAGGCTGAAAGACAACTCTAAGCAGGGGACCACAGGACCTCAGATACTGGGACACAGTTTCTATTTGCTCATCCAGGTCCCCGGCAAGTTCCTCCTTTTTCTCTAAAGGACAGGAAGAGGTGTGGCTAACATCCCTGAATTGTCCTCACACAGGAGCCTGGGGAAGGAGCCCACAGAAACCACCTTCAGGAAGCTGATGTTCTACCTGGATACCCACAGCTCTGGAGACAGCTGCTAGGCTCTGGGCCTAAACCACAGGCTACCCAAACTCCTCCATGCAGGACTGGACTCAACATGTTAACTCCTATAAGAGTCTAAGCACCTCAGGGAGGTGGCCTCGTCCCCTGACCCAGCCTTACCATGTATGTGGCAATCTCATCAGGAGCGTCTCCATCAAGGTCAAACTTGAAGGTCACCATCTTATGGTTATGCGTTTCCAGCTGACACTCCACCATCTTGTCCCCAGTGTTACACACCTGCAGGAAGTAGTGATCAGATTGCAGAGGGCATCACACCCATGTGCCCTAACCCACAGCCACTCACATTCAGGATGGTGAGCCGAGGCCGGCTGGCCCTCTCCTGCCGGGAGCGTGCTCGAGTGGACCTACGGTGGTGTTTCCTGGCAGTCCTGCCCTCCAGCCTGCCCCCTCCAAAGGTGCCTTCACAGTTGTCACTCAGGTCCCTTCCAGAGGTGACTTCAGAACCTCCAAAGCTGAAGGAAAAACCAAGAATGTTAACAGCATACCTGGATAACCAGAAAATCCACTCTAGTCAGTCTAGCCTTGGGGCTTTAAAACTTGAAGTGTCTAAAGCGAATGCCCCCAGTACCCAACCTGTACCACCCATGGGCCGGAGGGAAGTGCCAGCTTCCCAGGGGTGGGCTGTATGACCTTTGTTCTCTAGGCCTTTTGCCTGTGCAATGGGTCTGCATGCCTCATTTTCCCCAGGGGAGCAAACAAGACATCAGAGACTCAAAGCTGTTGTGATGACTGTGGAGTCTGCTGAGCTTCCAACATACACAACATCCAGTCTTCTGGGATGATGGGATCCACGCCACCTCTCACACCCACCTCTGTAAGAGTGACATTGCCACCCCAGAGCTCAGAAAGAGAAGCCTGGACACCGGGACCTGGGCACTTAGACTCTGCCTATGCCATCCCCACCCCCCCAACCCCCGCTTCTGGAATGTCCTCAGCATAAGGATTAGTGCCAGGACCCATAGCCCAGCAGGGGCTGACAACAACCAGGATCCATCCTGGATTAACAAAGACCAGAAAGATGGTCCCTGAGCCACTACTGGGTCAGATTTGGAAAAGAGGGGCAGCACCTGTTAAAAATCCTGATGGTAGGGCTGGAGAGATGGCTCAGAGGTTAAGAGCACTGACTGCTCTTCCAGAGGTCCTGAGTTCAATTCCCAGCAACCACATGGTGGCTCACAACCATCCGTTATGAGATCTGGTGCCCTCTTATGTTGTGCAGATATACATGCAAGCAGAATGTTGTATACATAATATATAAAATCTTTAAAAAAAAAAAAGAAAGAAAGAAAGAAAGAAAGAAAGAAAGAAAGAAAGAAAGTGCCCCTTCTGCTTTCATTAAAAAAAAAAAAAATCCTGATGGTGTCCTGGCAAACTGGGGCAGGATCTGAACAAAAGAGCCAGGCAGTGCTGGGCTAGGCCAAGCTGGCTCCTGAGCCTGGGCACCCCCACCCACCCAGTCTGAGGGGCAAGGCAGAGCAGTACCTCTCGCAGCTCTGTGGGGGGCCAGGGGGCTTGTCTTGCGAGACCTGCTCCTAAAATAGATCCAGAGTAAAGAGAACAGGGTTACACTGTGCTGACCTACCACCCCTCTGGTGAGAGCAGCATGCTGCTGCCTCCCCCCCTCCTCCGAGGCTCTCTCCGCACAGGGCCCAGTGTGTGGCAGGGTGATCTTGAAAGGCTTAGAAGCAAGCAGATTCCCAAAACCCAGGGTTGCTTCCTTCCACAAACTGCTAACCTACTTTGATCATTCCCCTAAAAAGACACACAGGGTTTGTGAAAGCCCTCGGCAAGCTGTATATCCTCTCTGCGGAAAACCCATTTCTGAAACCCATGCTCTCCCTCCTGATGTGGGCCAATGTAGACAGAGAGGCAGAGCAGCCTGGAGCAGCTGTCCCAGAGCGCACTGTGCCTCCCTCGCCTCTAGAGCTGAGCCCCCAGGTGGCTTGAGCAGGGAACAAGGGCACACACCTCTTGAGCCACTTCCACCATCAGCTGGACAGCAGGGCAGGGACCAGCGACTGCAGGCCCAGTGGGCAGAGGTGGGTTTGTTGGCAGGAGTAGTGCAGAGGTCTGGGTGGGCACACTCTGAGAGGCTGCAGCCACTGTGGGGGCCAGGGAGCTAGGGAGCTTGGGCAGGAGCTCAGGGGCGGTAGGCAGCAGAGTATCTGGAAGAGGAGGGGAAAGGACAGCAGGCGGCAGGGACACAGCAGAGACTGGAGCAGCAACATCCGCAGTGTACGAAGGAGGGTGGCCCAGCAGGACCTGGGGGCACAAGGGATAAGAATGCAGGCTGGGTACCAGGGGGCAATGGCAGAGGCTGTGCCCAGACACATCAGTGAGCACACGGGTTTGGGAAAACAAGGAATGTCTCTCTCTCTCTGATCCACATGCTCCCCACAGGCAATCCTTGTTTTAGAGCACATCTGGAATGTGGATTTTGCAGAGATAAACAGACATGAGGCTCCTCACATACCTCCGTGTGGGAATATACAGACCGAGACTCCCAGGAACTTCAGAATAAGCCCAGACACATAGAATAAGCAATGCACACTCAGTATCTAGGCTGGGCTCTGTCTGTCTCATGTCCTGCTTATCTGGCCTTCTACCTAGTTCAGAGCATGGGGTAGCCGTTCCCAGTCACAGGCTCAACACTTGCCATGTCTCATAAGGCGATGTGGAATTCTGGCTGACTCTCCCCTGTGGATGTTTCTCCTTAGTAACTCTTTGAGTGTGAAAAGTAAGATAGACATCAGTGGGGGACATACCATTCACGACCCCGGTTGGGCCGAGAGGCTGGAAAGTCAGTCAGTGTCTCTTAGGAAAGGGAACAGCCAACACTCACTTAGACTATACTTGGTCATGCAGGATCAGAGAGCTCACTTTGCTCCTGGGCACAGCCCCTCTGCTGGAAGGGATACTTGTGGGGCAGTCAGCCCAGCTCATTAATAAACTTCTAGAAGCTTAATGGAATTCTAAAAACTTTTGGAGGGGGCAGTCAGTGTCCTGGTTAGTTTTATGTCAACCTGACACAAGCTAGTCAATAAAGGGAGCCTCAGTTGAGAAAATGCCTTCATAAAAATCAGGCTGTAGGGTATTTTCTTAATTAGTGATTGATGGGGGAGGGCCCAGCCCAT